AGAACGGCGGTGGCTTAATTTTGTAGAAATTGTTGATCTCTCATGCTTCACTTATATTATTTTGAGAGTCTCTTAGAATAGGATGGTATTTGCTATGGTTATAAAATTGGTCCTAGAATGATGGGCATCCAAGTTTGGTATAATCAAAACTATCATAGAAAGTGAATTGGATGCTATAATCAATTTGATACTTGATAATTGGTTTGAGATATAGAGGTGGTAATATTGGAGTCATGCTAGTTGGGTGATTATGAATTTAAAGAATACTTGTGTTGAAGTTTGTGATTCCTGTAGCATGCACGTATGGTGAACCGCTTTGTGATGAAGTTAGAGCACAATTTTATTTATTGATTGTCTTCCTTATGAGTGGCAGTCGGGGACGAGCGATGGTCTTTTCCTACCAATCTATCCCCCTAGAAGCATGTGCGTAGTACTTTGTTTTCAATGACTTGTAGATTTTTGCAATAAGTATATGAGTTCTTTATGATTAATGTTGAGTCCACGGATTATACGTACTCTCACCCTTCCACCATTGCTAGCCTCTCTTGTGCCGTGCAACTTTCGCCAGTACCATACACCCACCATATACCTTCCTCAAAACAGCCACCATACCTACCTATTATGGCATTTCCATAGCCATTCTAAGATATATTGCCATGCAACTTTCCACTGTTCCGTTTATATGACACGCATCATCATTGTCATATTGCTCTTTGCATGATCATGTAGTTCACATCGTATTTATGGCAAAGCCACCTTCATAATTTTCATACATGTCACTCTTGATTCATTGCATATCCCGGTACACCGCCGGAGGCATTCATATAGAGTCATATCTTGTTCTAAGTATCGAGTTGTAATCTTGAGTTGTAAGTAAATAGAAGTGTGATGATCTTCATTATTAGAGCATTGTCCCAGTGAGGAAAGGATGGTGGAGACTATGATTCCCCCACAAGTCAGGATGAGACTTCGGACTTTATAAAAAAAGAGAAAGGCCAAATAAAAAATGAGAGAAAAAGAGAGAAGGGACAATGCTACTATCCTTTTTACCACACTTGTGCTTCAAAGTAGCACCATGATCTTCATGATAGAGAGTCTCCTATGTTGTCAATTTCATATACTAGTGGGAATTTTTCATTGTAGAACTTGGCTTGTATATTCCAATGATGGGCTTCCTCAAAATGCCCTAGGTCTTCGTGAGCAAGCGAGTTGGATGCGCACCCACTTAGTTTCTTTTGTTGAGCTTTCATACATTTATAGCTCTACTGCATCCGTTGCATGGCAATCCCTACTCACTCACATTGATATCTATTAATGGGCATCTCCATAGCCCGTTGATACGCCTAGTTGATGTGAGACTATGTTCTCCTTTTTGTATTCTCCACAACCACCATTCTATTTCACATATAGTGCTATGTCCATGGCTCACGCTCATGTATTGCGTGAAAGTTGAAAAAGTTTGAGATTACTAAAGTATGAAACAATTGCTTGGCTTGTCATCGGGGTTGTGCATGATTAAATACTTTGTGTGATGAAGATAGAGCAACAACCAGACTATATGATTTTTTCTTTAGTCATGTTATTTTGAGAAGACATGATTGCTTTTATTAGTATGCTTGAAGTATTACTATTTCTTATGTCAATATGAACTTTTATTTTGTATCATTTGGATCTGAACATTCATGCCACAATAAGGAAAATTACATTGAGAATTATGCTAGGTAGTATTCCACATCAAAAATTCTGTTTTTATCATTTACCTACTCGAGGACGAGCAGGAATTAAGCTTGGGGATGCTTGATACGTCTCCAACGTATCTATAATTTTTGATTGTTCCATGCTATTATATTACCCGATTTGGATGTTTATGGGCTTTACTTTACACTTTTACATCATTTTTGGGACTAACCTACTAACCGGAGGCCCAACCCGAATTGTTGTTTTTTTGCCTATTTCAGTGTTTCGAAGAAAAGGAATATCAAACGGAGTCCAAACGCGATGAAACCTTCGGGAGCGATCTTTTTGGAACAAATGCAAACCTGGAGACTTGGAGTGGACGTCAAGCAACAACCGAGGCGGCCACGAGGGTGCTCGGCACGCCCCCTACAGGTGGGCGCGCCTCCCACCCTCATGGGCCCCTCAAACGTCCACCGACCTACTTCTTCCTTCTATATATACCCACGTACCCCGAGAACATCAGAATAGACCACGAAAACCTAATTCCACCGCCGCAACCTTCTGTATCTGCGAGATCCCATCTTGGAGCCTTCACCGGCGCTCCGCCGGAGGGGGAATCAACCACGGAGGGCCTCTACATCATCTCCAAGGCCCTTCCGATGAGTTGCTAATAGTTTACCACAGACCTTCGGGTCCATAGTTATTAGCTAGATGGCTTCTTCTCTCTCTTTGAATCTCAATACAAAGTTCTCCTCGATCTTCTTGGAGATCTATTCGATGTAACTCTTTTTGCGGTGTGTTTGTCGAGATCCGATGAATTGTGGGTTTATGATCAAGTTTATCTATGAGAAATATTTGAATCTCTCTGAATTCTTTTATGTGTGATTAAGTTATCTTTGCAAGTCTCTTCGAATTATCAGTTTGGTTTGGCCTACTAGATTGATCTTTCTTGCAATGGGAGAAGTGCTTAGCTTTGGGTTCAATCTTGCGGTGTCCTTTCCCAGTGACAGCAGGGGTAGCAAGACACGTATTGTATTGTTGCCATCGAGAATAAAAAGATGGGGTTTATATCATATTGCATGAGTTTATCCCTCTACATCATGTCATCTTTCTTAATGTGTTACTCTGTTCTTTATGAACTTAATACTCTAGATGCATGCTGGATAGCGGTCGATGTGTGGAGTAATAGTAGTAGATGCAGGCAGGAGTCGATCTACTTGTCACGGATGTGATGCCTATATACATGATCATGCCTAGATAATCTCATAATTATTCGCTTTTCTATCAATTGCTCGACAATAATTTGTTCACCCACCGTAATACTTATGCTATCTTGAGATAAGCCACTAGTGAAACCTATGGCCCCCGGTCTATCTTTTATCATATAAGCTTTCCATCTACTTTTATTTGCATATTTACTTTTCCAATTTATATCATAAAATACCAAAAATATTTATCTTATCATATTATCTCTATCAGATCTCACTTTCGCAAGTGGTCGTGAAGGGATTGTCAACCCCTTTATTGCGTTGGTTGTGAGGTTCTTCTTTGTTTGTGTGGGTGCGTGGGACTTATGAGGAGCCTCCTACTGGATTGATACCTTGGTTCTCAAAAACTACGGGAAATACTTACGCTACTTTGCTGCATCACCATTTCCTTTTCAAGAAAAATCAACGCAAGCTCAAGACGTAGCATGCGGCTTCGGAGGCTCCCCCCAAACCCTAGCACCAGGAACCCAGATCCCCTTCCCCCGGCCGTTGCCGCCGCCGCCGGCGGTGGCGGCCGCGCTCGGCCGATGAAGGCAGCATGCGCTGGCTGCGTCCTCTGGACAGCTTCCCTTCGCGCGGAGTGGGACGTCCCTGAGGCGGCCATGGTGGTGGGTGGCTTTCACGGCGGGGAACGCGGAAGTGCGGCAGCGCGAGCGGATCTAGGGGCGCAGCAGCGTGGCGGAGGTAGGTGGAGCATCGGCTCTGTTGGTGGCGGCGACATGTGCTCAGCCATGGCAGCGGCGGCATTGAGGAGGTCCTGCCAGGAAGGGATCTTGGCGGGCAACGGGTGGCCGGTCGGCCGTTGTGTGAGGAGCGTGCGCTGATGCCCTTGTGGAGTTGGTGCCGGAGTGTGGCTGGAGGCACGTGTGAGCTCCATGCTTGTAGCAGTCCCCTGAAGTGGGTGAAGGCCGACGGTGCTAGATCTGGCCCTTGCCCGGCCTTGGTGTGATGCTGCTGCTCCTCGTCTGTGATGGTGGTGGTGTGGGTCACGTTCTCTCGGTTGCTGCAGTGGTGGCGGTGCGAGGCATCATGGCCAGTACTGCTCATACCTCCGAGGAGTGGAGTTGCACGGCATTATGGATGAAAATCCAGTCCGGTTTTGGCCGGGGCGGTGATGATGGCACCTGTGGGTGTCATTCCCCTCCCTGGAGGCGTCGTCGAGTGTCGCCAAATCCCTCGCTTGCTTGGTATTGGCAGTTGTCTCCGGGCGAAAGCCTTGATTCGGCGCTGAATCGGCACGATGGCGATGTCCTCGACGTCGTCTCTCTGTTGGGAGCATCGTGCCAGGAGACTTGGAGTTCCTATGTTCCGCTCCTCCGGTGTTCGCCTTTGCCCTGATTTTTCTTCCTCGGCGCAATGCATGGTCGTCGCTGGTGATTCCAAGAAGGTGCCTTTCTCAGGTCGGATCGAGTCCTGCCATCCTCTTGCCACCTCCTTTTGGCTTTACGGGGATGCTACGTTGACAGGGAAGCTTGGAGGGAGCGGCTGTTTTTCGGAGGTGACCGACGCAGGTCGAGACGCGCCGGGGTTTTCGGTTTTGGGTAGGCTCGTTTGCGTTGTGGTTGTGTTTTCGTGGGTGGCTGTCCTTGGACTAGCCAGATGTGGAATTGTGCTATGCTCGTTGTTCGCAACGAGTTGTAGTCGTCTTGTACTTGATATTCTCTTCTTCTACGCAATTTGCATACTCTCAAAAAAAATCCTCTATTTATTACCCAAACATTTAAAAAAATCCAGATAAACTTGGGCTCTATTTTATTAATTTGGACTAGAAAAGGTGCAAAAGGGGCCTGGCGTATGTTGCCTCGGGTGTGTGCGTGTGCTGTGGTGGCGTGCGTTTGTACCGGGCTGTTGTTGGTCGATACTTTATATATAAAGCGGGGCGAAAGCCTTTTTCGGTAAAGGGGCCTGGCGTATGGAGAAGGGAAACAGATCCTCGTTCTCCCTCGACAACCGCTGCTGCTAAAAAATCGCAGAGCTCGACGGGACGGCAACTGGATTCAGAAGCAGCGACCGGGAGAGGGAGATCTCCACCGACCGATCGTCCATCCATCCATCATGGACAAGGTGAAGTACCTCGCACGCATTTCCCTCTCTGATCTCCGTCCAGTCTTTCTTCCTGCAACCGCCGCCGCGATTCACCGCGCGCAAAGCTGAATGGGTTGGTAGGTTGCCCGCTTTAGGAGGAAGCTGGCGTGATCGTGGCCTGACGGAGGTGCGGAAGGGGAGGCGGCACCGGCACCTCCGCTCAAACTCGTGGAGGTGGCGGTGGCGGTGGCGGTGGCGAGGGGCGCCGGTGGCCAGAGGTTTAGGGTTTGGGGGCAAATTGAGTGGAGCGCGTGCGCTCACGTAATATCCCCAATTTGGAGCGATTATTGCAGATTTCTATGGTCTGACTCTGTCTGATCCAAGATAATCCTGATTTTCCAATTGGGCATTTTGACGTCTCCTGTACCAACCTTCGAAAATGGACCTTGAAATCTCTGAAAATTCGATCATACTTTTTTTTCTTTTCTTTTTTGCTTCATTACCTTAGCCATCTTTTGCATTACTGATCAATAACTTTGCATTTCGCCGTGAGCAATCTGCAGAAGGCTGGTGCGGAAAGGGCCTCGGCGGAGGAGAACTGCTCCAGGAAGAAGGCTAAGGTCACGGTGGAGGCCGAGGCTGCGGTGTCCGCGATCACTCTCAACGTAAACCCCAAGTTGCTGGAGTGCTCTGGTTGTTGCAGCCCGTTGGTTCCACCAATTTTTCAGGTAAAGGAGTGCAACTGAACTCCGTGTACGAGCTATTGACGTTTGAAAGCATGTGGCTGGTCTGGATTTCACCAAGAGTATCACAATTATTGTTTCTGATAGTGAACTTGTAGCAAATCTCTTCTTGCATCAATTATGGTGTCCCTGTAATACGTACGTTGGTCGTAGAATTCTAGATTCTTCTTATTCTGATTCTACTAGGAAATTTTATAAATTAATTAAGATGTGTGGGCATATTGGCCACACCACATTTCATTATGTGTTTGACGTTCTGTCCATTTGGGTATGCATTTCTCCTGTGGACGTTCTCTAGCCAATTTGGGTATATATGTATTTTTCTCCTGTGTGGCCAATCAATTTTAGCCTCTCTGGATCACCGAGAGAACCCAGATTTAACAAACTGTTACTACCATGAAAGTCATATATATGTGCAGTAACAGACTTTGTGCCAAAGGTTTGGAAAGCCATTATCAAGTGATACATGAACTCTAAATTTGCGAAGGTGCTATGCTTTGTATCACAATTACTGTACATTGTAAGTAACAAATCTGGCAGCAGCACTTGTGTTGTTTCAGTAACACTTGTATGTTTTTTGTTCTGTTTCAGTAGCAACTTTATGTTCCTGTTTCTCTCTTTTTGTCTGCAGTGCACAAATGGCCATATCACATGCTTAAAGTGCTGCGCCGATCTGAAGCACAGTAGTTGCGGCTTGTGTGCCTTGGAGCGCACCGGCTGCCACGCCTGGGGTCGCATCCTCGGCGGCTTCACCATGCCGTGCTCGTTCCAGGGGCACGGGTGTACCGAGACGATACGGTTCACGGAGAAGCTGGCCCATGAAGAGTCCTGCCTCCACGCCCCATGCCACTGTCCCATCGCTGGCTGCCGCCCCTACCGTGGACGGTCCCTGCGCGACCACATCAACTTGGAGCACGCTACAATCCAGTACACCCGCGTCACAGCCAGCAGCCTCTACCCCCTGAGCATGCGCAACGACGAGCCAGCCCGCCTGGTGTCCCTAGGCAGCAGGGCGGTGTTTCTCCTTGTGGTCGACCGGAGCATCCCGTCGGGGCGTGCGCTGTCGTTGATCCACCTTGTGAGTGACCCGATCGAAAAGGAGGATTTCAAGTACAAGATCGAAGTGCATACGCGGATTGGCATTCTCTCTGTGTCCGGCAGCGAGACACCGAGCGTCGGGCGGCTGATGAGGACGCACCAGGCAGGTGCGTTGCTGTTCGTATCAGACGCCGTGTGGTCTCCCCAGGATTCTCCCGTGTACCTCGAGCTGAAATGAATCTAGAGAAGCTGTATGCCGTTCAGTTCGAAAACCTTTACTCAATCTGATAGTAGAATTCTGAGACTCCATTCTATATTTGTACTCTTGTCAGCTGTGTCGATGTGGTTATAGTTACTAGTATATTATATTGGAACTGTCGAAGTTGGGTAATTGGACAATTTTTCGATAATTTTCTGGGGATAATTTTACATAGAATACCCTACTGGAATGCCTTGTTTTGTCTTGTAAGGTTGGAGCAAACATATATACATGGGTGTAGCCGAGAGTTCCGTTGAGCATTTGACAAGGATTAAGTATATTTTTCGTCCCTCAACTCTTTCGAAAATATAGAAATCGTCCCTCAACTTCGAAACCGGTAAAGATTAGTCCCTCAACTTCTCAAACCGGATAACTTTAGTCCCTCGGGTGGTTTCGTTGATGACGTGGCATGGTTTTGACCCTAGTATTCAGAGTTGACTATCACCTCTTCTTCGTTCTATTTTCCCACGCAATAGGCATTTCATCGAATAGTTGATGTGCACACTCTGGCTCGTGGGCTCCTGCCACCTGCGCTCGTCGGCTACTTGCTGCTGAGGCCAACTTAGATCGGGATATTGGAGAGACATGGAGAGGTGGGAGGAGCTCGCGGTGGCCGGTGGCTGCACGGCCCTTGTCGTAGCTTGAACCTTGAGCAGGAGGGGGGCCGACACCGGCTCTTTTCCTCCTCCACACCAATGCCAGGCACGGGTCCATGGCGCATTCTTGGCGTCTTGATCCAGCGGCAGCCTCTCGTACGTGGTGTTGCCGGACGTGGCTGCAATCACCATGAAGGGGCCAGAGCCCGGACGCGGACAGCTCTCCCATCACGGTAGCGCCCACAGGCGAGGTACGCGGCGAGCCCCGTTGTTTCAGGAGACGCCGGCGCCGGACAGGGACAGTATCTCAAACCGGCCGGTAGGACGACGGCGGCTACCCCGGTCCGCGCGGGCTCCAATCATGAATGCATCTGTTACTTGTGTACTTCTAGCCGGGACGCGTCCTTTCCGGCAAGGTGCACGGCTAGCTCGATTTCTTCCCGAGCTAGGTACCGCAGTAGACGCTACACGAAGAGAGATGCATACGTACACAAGCAACGCATGCTAGATAATCGATTTACCCTGGAGGAATCCATCAACCTGGTAGTAGCTAGCTTCGACTGATATGAGGAACCAGAAAAAAATGGCGATGCAAAATAAATTGTACCGTGGTGTTCAGCTTAATGTCAATGAAACGCGGTGCCAGCCAAGGACCTCATCGGCCTCGCCGTGGCCGGCGCCCATGCCTCGTCAAAGCTCAATGTGGCGAGTACGGTGACCAAGCTAGAGGTGGCGTGAACGCTGGCCAAGCTCCAGCAGGCCGTTTCCCTCGCAGAAGCTGCCACGGCCACGAGGGTCAAAACCATCCCACATGATCAACGAAACTATAAGTGGTATGAGGGACTAAACTTATCCGGTTTGAAAAATTGAGGGACTAAGTTTTACTGTTTTGAAGTTGAGGGACCATTTCTATATTATCAAGAGAGTTGAGGGACTAAAAATATACTTGGATCGAAAGGAACTTGAGAACCTTCACTTTGTTGCTAGCTCGGTTCAGGAAGTTTTCGAGTCTGTCCTAGAGGATTTTAGGATGTTGAAAGCAGCTGGCTGTTTCATTCAGCATGTATGATGCTTCATGCTTGTACCTGATGACACACTCAACACATTCTCTGCATTGTTGGTTGTGATTCCCTGTACTCCCTAATTTCTACCTTAATAAAGATCGGCTTCAGCCCTTCGAGAATAGTGATTGGATCGCATCTAAGCAGTTGGAGCACAGGGGTGTTCCCCGCACAGTTGGAGCGCATCTGGCAATTCCAGCAGTTCATCGTCAGGAGCCAGTTCATCTACAATAACATGGGTGGAATCTACCGCGAGATCCTGCCGGAACCCGAGCACTTGTGATCTCCAAGGTGCTTTACACCTTGGACATCGGTGCCAATGACCTCACCATGGGCTACGTAGGTAACATGACATGACCACAGAGCAAGTCAAGGCCTATGTCCCCGATCTCATGGAGAGGCTCCCGTCGGCCATCCAGACCGTGTACAGGCTCGGGGCGAGGTATTGGGTGATCAACATGGGGACGCTCAGGTGCCCGCTGTACGCCTTGGTGTACCGCCCGGACAGAGCTCGCTCCTTCCTCTTCTTCCTTCTCTAACCCCCCTTCCCTAAAGTCCAAATCAGTGTTCTCCTTCCCATTTTAATACTCTCCCTCTGTTTTTATATACAAGGCGACTTTGTTTTTCGTGTCATACTTTGACTTATAATTTTTGGTCAACAAATATGGGTTATATGTCATCAAAACATATAATCAAAAAGTTCTTTGAAATGTGCATCTAATGACACAGAGTACTTTTTTATGACATATGACTCACATTTTAGTATCATGCAATTTGTAATATTTATATGTATAATTGTATATGCGGTTTAGGAATAGGAATTTTTTTAGGCATGGTTTAGAACTAGGTACAAGAACCTTCAAATGTTGAATTTAATCTGACATGGGCCTTGACCTTTTTTTTTATGTGGCCACGGGCCTTAACTGTCTTCCAGAGAATAAGAGTGGCGATGATGGGCCAAAAATGTGTAGGCCCAGTTGACCGGCGCCGACCTTTTGCAGATTTGATTTGAATTTGAGGCCGAGACAGTACTGTGTTGCCTGCCATCATACACCCTCCTTATTCTTCCTCCTCCGTCTTGTGTGTATAACGAGGGTGGCCCGGCCAGAATCTAGAAACTCTTGATTGATCGGTGCTCCCTGCTTCTGCTTCCAGATGGCGCTGAACGAGGGCCTCGCCAGGTTCAGGCTGCTGCATCAGGAGAGGAACCAGGCGGCTCTATCCGCCATCGCCACAGCAAAAACTTCTTCGTCATCATCCACCAGGCCGTCGCCGTCCCAGCAGCAACCCTCCCCAACTCCAACTCCAAGGCCGGTGGCTAAACCATCGCCGCCAGTGCCTGCCGCCAGACTCTCCAACGACGCGGCGCGGCCAAAAGAGACAAACACAGTGAGGAAGTTGGCCTCCGGAACACGGATCAGATTCTCCGATGACACAGCGCGGCTACAGAAGATCAATGAAGTGAGGAGGGTTAGAGTATTGCTTTCATGTCAATGCAAAACGAATGGAAATGGTGAAAGCCTAAAAAAACAAAGAAAACCGTTGAAATATGTGAACCAAACAAACAAAACCGAAAGAAAGAAAGAAAGAAAGAAAGAAAACAGTGAAGAAAAGAAAGAAAGAAAGAAATCCGGTGAGAAAAGAAAGAAAAAAGAAAAACAAAAGAACCTAGTAAATAAGTGGAAAACCCGACTCGTTTGCCTCAAGTAGCCTGCACCTCCTATTTCATCATGAACTCAATACTGGCTCGAATGGCGCCGGTACCGACAACTGAGGAGATCTATTTTGTTTGTCGGAGTTGGGTAATTGGATAAGTTTTTGATAATTTTCTGGAAGTGGAATGATAGCAAGGATGACTTTAGATAGAATACCCTACTGGAATGTGTTGTTTTGTCTTGTAAGCTTGGAGCAACATCTAGACATGGATGTAGCCGAGAGTTCATTGAGCCGTTGACAAGGACTGAACTGTAAATAGTGATTGGATTGCATCTGGGCCGTCTCGTAAATTCATGATTTGGATCCCACAATTATGGCCCATCTCAGTAAATTCAAACTTCTTACAAGCGGTGAAGTTTGCCATAGCTATATGTCGCCTGTTTCATGTCCTAAGTAGGTCTCGCAACGCAGATGGGCTGACCCAATATGGGTCTTAGGGGAGCGGTTTTTTCAAGGAAGTTTTTGTCTGGCTTTTTCGCGTGGTATTTTCTGTTTGTTTCTGCCGTAGTTTCGATGGGTTTTCCTCATTTATTTTAGTGGTGGTTTTGACTGTTTTTTCCTGTTTGTTTTTGTGGTGGTTTTTTTCCTATGAGGTTTTGCCGAGGCGAGCATGCGTAATTATAGATGGTTTCTTTTGTCTCCAATCTGGTTAGGCTAAAGTGTTCATTTTAAATCTTGATTAGCACTGGTACTAAAGAAAGATAAAACATACGTTATTGATTAAGGTTGCACCCAGAATAGCATTTTAAAAATAGTTAACATTTAAAATAACATCATATTTAGATTCTACACTTTTTTCTGATCAAATTCTATATATAACATGTTAAAATTGCAGTTAGATATGGATAATTTTTAAAGGCATTTGATGTGGACTGCGAGTTGTAATAGCTCAAACTTAATTCATGCCACCAAGCACCTAATTGTAATTTTCTTTATATTAAAAGAATGTCTAAGTTTTGCTCATAAATCACATTTAGTGTGTAGGCAGGTCAAGCCAAGATGCAATAAAAAGAAAGAAAAAGAAAAAAGAAATTAAAAAGGAAGAAAACCAATGCGAAAAGAATGAAAACCGAGATTGAAACAAAGAAAAATGACGAAAGAAGAGAAAACCAAAGAAAAACAAAGAAAAATGACGAAAGAAGAGAAAAAACAAAGAGGATATCATTTTGATCTGTATCTGTTTACTATTTAGTATAAAACAGACCAATAACAGAGAGGTATTGCTTAGAAAAGGGATTCAATATATAATCGATCAAAGTAATGGGTCTTCCTTTGTGGTGATAAATTGCCTACTTAACTCAATGGCTAGAGTATTGCTTTCATGTAAATGCAAAATGAATGGAAATGGTGAAAGCCTAGAAAAAAACAAAGAAAACCGCTGAAATATGTGAAACAAACAAACAAAATCGAGTGAAAAAAGAAAGAAAAAAAACAGTGACGAAGAAAGAAACAAAGAAAAAACCCAGTGAAAAAAAGAAAGAACGAAAACCGGTGAGAAAAGAAAGAAAAAATAAAAAGAAAAGAACCTAGAAAACAAGTGGAAAACCTGATGTATGAGGCGAGACCTTCTTTTATCTCGCAATAAGCGAGAGCTTCTATTTCGCTA